AAAGAAGTTATTTGACACATTTGATTTGGAACTAACTTTTGTCATTATTTCTCTTGAAGCTGCTTTCCAGTCCATGATGAATGGAGGCAATATTGGAAAACAGATCGTCCTAGTTTCTAAGTAACAGTCATTGCTTGGGGAAAAGTAAACGATTCTATCCATAGTAATAAGCAAGTTTTACTTACAGTAACTACCACCTTAAATATACAATTGTTCTTTATGTACTAAAAGCAGATATTTTAGGATGCTAAGGCAAAAACCATGCTAATAAACTGAACAGAATTGGAAACAGGAATGCAATAGTTTATACTAAATATGGTAATATATTTGACATGACTTGACAGCAGTCAGTTAGCACACGTACAAATAATTCATGGGTATTGGAAGTTAGACCACCTCAGGAACTATTTCCAATAAGTAATTTGTATACAGCCACCTGGTTTTAGATGTGCATACATATGTGTTGTTCCTATGCTAATTTGTCTCATTGCCCAAGAACTTGATAATTTTTCATTTACTAGTATAAGCTTAGCTTGACAGTCCAATCAATCTGGCTATCATATTAAAATTAAAATTATATGTGTTATAACTTTTTTTCCCCCAGATAAGAGCAATCAAAAATTCCATTTCTACAACTCAAGTTCTGTGATATCAAAGATACTTCTATTTTGCCATCTGAAACAAGTTTCCACTGATTGCATTTCCCATTTTTCTGTACTGTATCATTATATAATCTATTTTCAGTGTACCTTAAACCTAGTTCATTTAGAATTCCATCTGTATGCTGCCTGAGACTTCCATCAGAGGAAGGTCCAGCTATAAGGGCTAGCTTGTTTTGGCATAACAGTGCTCTTTTACCATTTTGGAAGCTTGAGAAGTCAGCCACTGTTTCCAAGTCCGACTAACATAACCTCAATCCAAGCGATACGGATGCAATTTAAACATCTTCAAAATAAAGCCATTAGAATTCCACCATTATGTACATTTAGAAACACTGGCACATTAATTTAGTGATTAGGATAACTTACGATAGCGTAACTTACAAGCTATTGGTTTTGTTTTAAATATCTGCCTTTAAGAGGAGTGTTTCCAAGCACAGTAGGGTAGGCTGAGAATGGATCCTCTACATCTTCTTGAGTCACTACCTACACTCTAAATGGAATCCAAGAACTAGGAGAGAAACTATACAGGAAGTTTAGCATTTAAGTCTTTTTGCACACTGTAGAAAGAGAACAGATTACAGAACTGCCTCGTATCATTGTGAGCAATATGAAAAACAGTCCCTTGATTTCCTAGTGCTGAAGCTGACCCTGAAAGAAAGCATACAGTGACTAATGCTTTAGGCTTTGAAGAGAAAGACACCTGCATAATAGGATTACATTCACATCCAGCTAGATTCTCAATCCAATATCAACATCACTAACTTGAGCACTAGCAACATCATGCTGGGACAGAAGCCAAATTGTTGTGGAATAAAATCAACATCATTGTAGTTGGCAAATGAAGATAAAAAGCATCAGATGGAAGAAATTCTGTGAATTCCTGCTTACTGACTGTTTACAGATGATACTCATTCCTGAAATGTGGGCATTTCAAGCTTAAAGACTTGATAATTTGTACACAGATGAGAGAGAGAGGAGGGAGCTAAGGGGAATACAGCCTTTTCAAACAGAACCAGATGTTCTATTGAGTGTTCTGGTACATCAGATCATGTGACTTAATTGTCACCTTTCCTTTTTTTCTCTCCCACGTACACACACTTTAGATTGAAACAGCATCAGCCTGGAGGCTGTTATGCAATGCACACCCTCTTCTGCAGTAAACCTTCTACAAGGCAGTAGGCTGGCCTTAATGCACTGTAACAATCTTTCTGAATAGACTTCCTCCTCCTAAAGTCCAGTTCATTCCTAAAGTTCAACTCCAAATGTAAAAGAAAAAAAACAAAACAGCCCACTTCTTCACACAAATTTAAACATCTTTTTGCTAACATTTCCCTATATTTGGCTTCCTCCAATCTAGAAATTGTATGTCCGTTTCAACAACATTTTGAGAAAAAAAGATGCCTTATGATCTTAAAACTGAAGACCCTTTTGTTTTAATTCAAGCATTCTAGTTACTTACATGCATCTATTTCAGAAGGGATTTCATCCACAACCTGTGGTCAGTTTGTATTGCAAGAACGTAAGGAAGGCAGCATAGCAAGAACCACTGCTGACAAGGTGTTAAATTGTTTTCACACGTTATGGGTGAAGGTGACTTACTTATACTTGCTTGTCCAAAGTACAAATGTTGGACTTCTGAACATTGTTTGCTAAAGAGCTATTCTAGAACGAGCTCATAAGTGAGGACCATGAGCTGACACACCTTCCAAGAAGGACAGCCTCTAGGATCTGAATTTTCACAACTGAAAATATGATTAAATTTTAAAATTCCCAGCACTATGATTTTTACAGCAATTGCTTAGTAATCCATGCACTCTGTAAGCCCATTGCAGTCTGATGATGTGAAAGGTGACCCAGAGTGAGGTCATGCTGAGGTATTAATTCTTTACTGTAATAAAGGCAGCTTGATTGCTGCAGCATTCCAGTAGATTAGGTAACTCACTTAGGTAACTTAGGGAGGAATATTCTGTAAGCATAAGTCAGATGACTACAGGAAAAAAAAAAAAAAAAAAAATACAGACAGTTAAAGTGGACTTCATCATGGTACTCCCAATATCTAGAAAACTTTTCTGCATTTGTGAACCCTGGCTTAATGTTGTCTCTTCAGAATAAATAAAAATCAAAGGAAGAAAATCTTTTAAATTAAGTGCCTATATCTGTTAATAAAAACATTACTTTTTTTTTTTTTTTTTTTTTTTTTACTTTTTTTTTTGCAACCTTGTCTTAATTTCTTATTGTAATAGTGTGTCTCTTAAGTGATCCTACATTTTGCACTGTAGGGGAGGTCTCATTTAACAGAAGGTAACAAATAGCTGCTAAGGAAAATCTAGGCCACTCTGGATGTAGCACCACCACTGACTGCAGAGGATCAGCATCTGCACGTGAAGCCTTGCCATGCAGGGGCAGTGCATGGTAGTTCAGATGATCTTAAGTAAGGGCAGACATGAATGCAGAGTAGCAAGTTTGTGACCAGAAGGTGGTACTGGAAGTTTGGCTATGCAGTCTTTATCAATAAGCACTTCTTGTTGCAACTAGTAACATTTAAACAACATTGGACAGATATCACTGAAAAAAATTTGAGCCCAGCTTACACTTGTTTATGTTTTGCCTGTTTCACGCACTCCCATTTTCATCTCTTTTCCTTACGCACTGTGAAAAGTTGCTGTTGGCTACAGATTAGTACTAGGTCATATGGTTTAGTGCAAGGATTTAGTGGAAAATATCAGATACCTGGAAAAAGAGCTTACCAGCCCCCATAGAGGTGGTTCCTGTTGCCATTCACAGTAGCAACTTCAGACAAAGTGGTGATAGAAGGCAGACACCTTTCAAGTAGCTTCATACCTTTTTAATGCATTGATAGTAAAAGCAGATGCAGGACTATTTGTGCTTTTTTGTCTTACACTTTCCTGTATTGCAGCAGGGAAGTGGGAAATGTCTATGCAGTCCATAAGCAGACTGCCAGGGATAAAAGTTCCTAAGCAGAAGGCTTATCCTGCAAGGGTAACAAGAGCTGGAATTAACTCCAGACCTAAAGAATAACTTGTGAAACACAACTGAAAACTTCAGGAAAAAGCACGAAGGAAAATGAGTCGACTGTTTAGCCACATGGACACAATTTTTCAACTAGCAAGATATGTTGGATAGTTATATTGAGTCAGGTACAGCACTCACTGTAGACGAAATGGTGGTAAGAGAGCAGCCAGCAGTACTGAATGAAGTACAAAGCAGCTGGGCAGCATTTACCTAAGAATAGGGAGGTGTTATTTTATAGAAGACTGAGGGAAAACAGTGAACAAGGGCAGTCCCTGCTCCTGTCTTTTCTTAGACTGGCTTCTCCGTAGCTCTGACAGCATCCTCAGAGACCCTCCCTAAGCTCCTATTCTGCAACGTGGAGCCTCTCTCACTGTGCCTTGCTTGCTTTCCTTGTAACCTGGGTTGGGAATTTGGCCAAGGACCAGGCTCTGATGGGGAGAAGCTTGGATACTTGCCAGCACAGTAGGACTTCCTGCTCCTGGTTCTTGAGTGACTGGAGAAAGGCAGAATGCTGTCTACCACTGCTCTCACCCCTGGAATGGTACTGCCTTTACATCCCATTACCCAAACCCTTCCCCTGCTTCTCAGCAATAGCAATCCCACTAGAAAGCTGCACAGGCAGCAGTGAACACTGCAAACCAAAACAGCCTGTCCCTGCAGCTGACTTCATTGCCCTCCAGGTAGCCATCACTTACCACCTCAGCTACCCAAGCAGATGCAGAACAGGTTTCCTCCTTGAACTCTTGGAACTGTTCTTGTTCAGTTGGTTTTTCTTTTTCCTTGCCTTTTTCGATATGCCACAGAAAGCACGAGAAAAGCACAAAGAAAAATCCTCTTTCGTTAGCCAACAATCTCATGAAGAGAAAGTTACAGATGCTTTTTATAAAACTTAAGCTTTAATAATAACAAAAAAAGTATTTGAAAGCATTATCAGAACTTTTCTTTACAAAAGAAAATCTATTTTCAGTTTCAGATAAGAATCAAGTATTTTAAAGTCATTTTCACCATGCAGACTAAAAAGGAAAACCAAAAACAACAGAAGCACCCAAACCTGCTGAGTACTTTAAAAGAAGCGTTTAAATAATGAAAGGCTGATTTCTCACAGATGTTACGGATGCCTGCTGGCAATACGCAGTGTATTCCAGCAGTCTGATTCCATGATCTGCTACTTGCTTTGCTCACTTCATGTCTTGTCCTCTTACTGAACAGCTTGGAAAGGATCCTCTTGGCTTCAGAAGATATCTAGGTTCCTATGGTTACCCCCAACAGCCACATAATATTTTAAGAACCACGTGCTAGAATTAATAAGTGCCAAAGTTGCTTTATTTATAAACTTTAAGAAAGAAACAAAATCTTTCCAGGCTTAACTCATCCCTGAACTGGAAAAACCATGCAACACTATGACATCTTTTTTAAAATAATGCTAATTGATATAAGAGGAATTCATCCTGTTAGTGAGCAGAAGAGCTGAATTTTGAAAGAGGACCCAAACAGGCAATTAATTAGGTCAACACAGATCCTGCTATCACTAGAATGTTTTACTTTAGTCCACCACGTTGATTTGCATCTTTTGGGCATCACAGAGCAACAGAGGAGAAAAGGCATATTTTTATAGGGTGGCTTCCACATTTATTGTAATAGCATCTCCATATTTGTCTGAGTTTCATTCAGTTGTTAGTTTCCTTAAGTGACTGGTGCTATTTTCCCAGAGCCAGGCTATATTTCATAGAACCTATATCTACACGTTTCATTTTAAGGGAAAATCACATACATTGTGATTTTTGTTATCTGCAGTTAAATTGGGCAACCATGTACTTATACATATAAGGACAGCTAAATTAGAACTTATCTCCCTATGTGCTTTTGAGAACTTCCATTCTGCTGAGATGAACAATTTAAAAAGATCTTCAAGCAAATATTGGTAAATAGAGTTTCCCCATGTTAAGTTGCATAGCTCAACTAGCAAAGTTAACATTTTACTGCTGAAGTTCCAGAATATTGGAAAGGAGACTAAGGAAAGAAAGAAATCCGAATTACCATGAGACAAGGTCAGCTTTGCTTTTCTATGAAGCAACAAAGAGCTGTAACAGGTGTACCTTAGAACGGGTCTTTCTGGCATGGGGTAGAATTCTCAGTTTCCACACCACACTTTTCACTGAGATCAGGACAGAAGGGTAGCCCTGCTCATCTCACACTTAGGATGTATTACATCAGTCCCACATACATATGTAATTCACACATCAACCACATGTCAACAGCATGCCATTTTTAGGGAGGTCCTCAGAGCCAGGGACGGCACATCTGAAAATAAAACACCTTTCCTTGCCACACTAAGACTTGTTTGAACAAGTTCTTAAAATAATTCCATCTATCTAAGAAACATCCAAAAGAACCAAGAGGTATAGTTGATTATTATCTAAGAGAATAGGATGGCAGATGACAGACAAGAAAGGTCCATCTCCTCTCAGAGAAAAGTTCTTCCCACAGGCTGTAAGAAGCATTTTATTGCCGTTCATACGCTCTCTGATCAGAAGTACTTGCATTCCTAGCAACATTGTAAAATGCCACATTTGTCATTACATTTCCACTATTGTTTCTCACTAGTAAATGTTAAACCCTGCCTTTGATTTCTTTTTTTTTTTTTAACAGCTTTGCAAAACACTTACATTGCTTATCACAGTGTCATTAGCTGCTAAGTATTCTCTTAACAAGGTATTTAATTTACACAAATGAGGGCTGTTAATATCTTTTTTCTGCTATAGTCAGTCACAGTGGAATGGGAATTAAGGAGTAGAAAGGCTCTCATTTTAGAGATAACAAGTCTTAGTTTTAAGTAGAATTTTCTTCTAGTTTATTGTACTCTCTTATTTCTGTAATACAGTTGCTGTCTTTTCTAAGGTGACATAAGTTATACCTCCTTTTTCTTGACAAACCATAAATAAATTACTAAAATTACATAAACTACTTAAACATTCCACTCACAACAGTCTTATGAAGCAGGCCAGTGTCCTTATTTTATAGATAAGGAAGCTGAGGCAGGAAGCTTAGCAATCACTTTAAGGTATAACAAAGAACCATTATTAGAATTAAGGACTTCATGTTTTGCCTTTTGGAGAAGAAAACTCCCAGTGGGGTTAAGAAGAAAAGCAGAATAGATTCATAATTAGTAAAGACAGCTCTTTTGGCTCTAGTTTCTTAAGTTCTTCATAAATACAACTGCTCCATCATTTTTAGACAAGGAAAAACAAAAATGAGTTTCCCAGGCCACTCGGTGGCACTGAGACCCAGAAACAGAGTCCTGACTCCTCTCCCTTAGTAAGGATACAGCTACTAAACCACAGGATTCCTTTTGGATCTTCCAACCCAAGACAATTGTCACCATTCCTTGCTTTAAAGATGAACTGCTGACTACAACTGTGAATTCCAATGGCAATCATTCCCTGCCCTTTCAGTAGTCAACTATGGGAAAATCAGCAACCATAACAGTGGAAAACAACTATTTCCTTCTAGAGAAAGAGCACATTCATTAACTAGTGCTCCCAGGATAAGATTAGGACCATGGCTCAGGTGAACATATGCACAAATACATATTTAAACACCCAGCAGCCTATAAAGGACTCCTATAGGCCTTTATGAACTGAAAAGTGTATGTAAGCATTGGACTCTTACATTGAAGGCCATACAGAACCTTTGTAATAAGTATTAGTTTATAAGGACATCTGGTCTAATCCTCTAGAAATACACGCAGATCTTGAAATAAGCAGCAGTTACACACAAATCCTGGAGCTTGTTATCCAGATCTATTCATATTTTTCCCAGCATTACAAAAATCAAGAATTTAAGAATTAAAAATATTTTCCATTCAATTACAACAAGTAAACATTTCCAGTGGTGATCCATAGAGACATTCTGCTTTGTATCATAAAAAACATACTACAGATTACACAATTTACTGCACAGTGTATTAATGTATAATTGTATAACATTATACAGTATGCTGCATACGTATAATACAACACACATATATAATACATACCGTTATACATTTACTACAGCTATGCAGCAATGGAGGTGCAGCATCAGATCTTACCACTTCATGGCTGGTCTGTACAGAATTCCAGCAATACAAAACAGTAGGTTGCATCTTCAGTTGAAGAAGTTCAACTATTGTGTTGCATTTCAGAAGCTCTGACAGTTTTTCATTTCTATTGTGTAAGTTCTGAGCTCAGATGATTGAAACGTCCAGGTTTTATAAATCAGAAATGAGGTCAGGGCCACCAACCATGTTCTCATGGGAGAGAGGACAAAAGCCAAGGTCCCATAGGTTCGCTGCAAGAAATAGCAAGAATAGACCTGCCAGGCCAGCAGGAGTGCCATTGCCAGATGAATAAGCACAACCAAGAGGCGTTGGACATGATGGATATGAGAATAGAAACTGTGACCTTTGCACCGCAGGAAGAGGCACCAGCACAGATAGGCCATTAAGGGCACATTGAAAAACAACATCTGGGAAAAAAAAGTAGAAAAAAGACAATGATCAAGCCAAATACTCTGGGCAAGACACAAAGCACGGAAAGATAAGAGCACACAAAACTGTCCCATTTCAAATACTGACTGCAATTCCCAAAGGTAGAAGCTCAGGCTGCACTTCCAAGACACTGCAGCTGAGAGAGGTTGGCTTGCCTGAGCCTCAGTCCCAGGCCAACTATTCCTGCCTGCTCTCTTGCAGTGCACAGCACTAATGTTTACCTGATTCTTTATGGATCTAGTTGAGGGAGCTAGACTTGGCAAAATACTAGTGTAACAAAAAAATGAAAGCCTTTGTCCCAGTTTAGCTCTGTGACCCAATATGGTGTAAAACAAGTGTTAGCACTGACACAAGGGAGGGACAGTGAGGCGTTCAGACTTTGATGCTGAGGAAGTACACCCTGCCTTTCAGATTAAGGAAATGCAGAGGGCAGCCAGATCAAACCAGTGAGAAAACCAGACTCAGGTCTACTTGGAGAGTGACACCTACTGATCTGAAGAATGTTCAGTGTGCAACAGCTGCCCTGAACATTTGTTTTGCTTAAGTACTGCAACTCATTTGTAAGGACAAACAAAAAAATTCAGAGAGAAGAACAAATTTGTAGAGATTGGATGTCAGGATTAGAGGCAGAGTCTGAAACAACATCAAACAGGAGAAAAGAGAAGTGTGAGGAATATATGCACAACTTCCTTCTGTCCTATCTTTTAAGTTTGAAGAAAGGTTAGAAAGCTTGCCATAGAGTCAAGCATGGTTACTAGTCGTCTTTATCCTCCCAAAACTCCTTTCTTCATAAAATTATATAAAAACCCCAACAAAATACTCTCAGAAGAGAGCAGTTTGTCAATGTTCATCTCTAAACACATACCTGTAAAATTCCAACCACGTATGTGAGACCACCCCGTAAGAAGGAACCACCAACAAACACCCCAAAGGAAAAACAGGCTCCCACTTGGCCATCTATCAGTTCGCCTACAAACCATGGTCCTGAAAGAAAATCAACATACTTCTATATTGTATCTGGTGGTGCTGTAACTCTTTCACTAATTCTTAGATCAAAATGCTTGACTGGGTACAATGATTACTGTTTGTTTGTAGTATTAAACATGTTTCATGTTTAACAAACAGCAATCTGATGAACACTCCTGATGTGAATGAATCCTAACCTTTTGCTATGGTCCATCAATGAGCTGCAGTATGCAATTAAAATATTTTTAAGTTGCTTTAATCTCAGTGAGAATTTGTGACAACATAGGTAACATTTCCCTAATGAGAGGGATGAAAAAATAGATCCTTTCAAGTGCTAACCCCACCACAGAATTGCTAAACTAGTAAAATTTAGAGACAGTTATAAACTGAGCCAAGCTGGAATTGTTGACAAGTCAAAATGCATATCTTACACCACTTACTTCCACAACAGTAGCTATTTTAGAAACATTTTAAGAGAAAAGCTAAAATCCTTAATAGCAGAGCTGACACATCTTAGTGATTTGTCATGTGAGATGCACACTCTGTGCTTGTTTTATGCTAAGGCACAGATCTTACTCAAAGAATAAGTGAAACCCAAATTAAACATGAAAATATTCATTTTGCTTTCAAAATGTAATTTGCTAAATCTATTTGAGGATGTTTTAAGTCCAGCTCTTCATCATAAACCTTTATTCTCCTTAGACTTCCAACTTTTAAAGTTCCACATTAATTTCACAATTTAATATCTTTTCCTCCATTGTCCAAGATCTCTGAAATCCAATTTTTCAACAAAATCTGATGTGTAATTTCAAAGAGTAACTTATGCCCTCCAGGTTACTTACCCAGAACAGTGTATAAATTCAGAACCAGAACTGAATAATAGAAGGCATTTATTTTACTGAAGACGTGAAGGGAAAATGAGGTCAGACCCAGGAGTCCTGGCTTTTCTAAATAGAGGCAACATTTCAGAAAAATAAATGTGATTCAGGCTGTAACGTGCATACACATCTTTCTGAAAGAAGTTTGTACATTACTCATTCAGTTAATTAAGAAATATAAAAATGTTTGGTATGTCTACAGAGCAAATGAAAGGTAATGCATTTCTAAAATGTGATAAGAATAAGAAACTAAAAATAGAGCAATGCTAATAACAGCAGAAAAAGACTACCATTCTAAACAAATGCACTTACTGTGTGCAAATAAAACTCAGTGACCATTCTATACCCAGAAAATGAAGTCAGCTAGAATGAAAAACATGGAGAAAGTTCATATTAAATGAAAATAATTTCAAACAGTAACTGTGCAGGTCATGAAGGACTAGGCTTACAGGATATTCTTTGATCAGCTTTGCTTGATGAAGTCTAATAGCAACTCATATAAAACTAATTAAAATTAAATGTTAAAGCAACAGCATTCTGACAAGCATGTCACACTAGCAAGAAAAAGCAACTACTCTTCATTTCTTCTTTTAACTGCAGCGGTTAATTCATATTCTGAGATCCTTCCAAATGAAGTTAGCTTCTAGAAATCAGGCTTGTACATGGCTGCCCTTCTCACAAAGCACTAACTCCCAGAGGCAAGCTTGAACTTTGGAAATCGAGAGCTCTAAAATTTGTTCACTGCTCTGTGAAACACTTGTTGTCTACAGGGGCCTAGCTGATCATGAAGCACTAGCTCTTTCTACTTTAACTGCTGGATTCCCTCGAATTAACTGCAAATCTTTTCTCTTTCTAAGTAATAGGTTGCTGCAGTTGCCTCACAGTGCTAGGTGATTATGGGTGTAAAGGAAGGAACATAAACTGACATGAATCGGAAAGGAGGTGGCTTCTAAAATAATCTCATTAGTAAGGTGTGGTTCAAACAATTGTGTGAAGGATAAACACCTCCAAGCTCAAAGTATTTTCAATTGCCAGATTTATTATGAACAAGATATCAAGTTACAAGAACTGATATTATTATCCTGATAAAGACACAAGCCTGTACATATTGTTTGCAAAGATCAACAAAAATTATTGTAGCAGGAAATCTGTTCCTCCACTCTGGTGACAGCAATAAAGACAGAACTGTGCACTAGCTGTAGTGAAATGAATACACCTCCACAGGACTGATGCAAAATATTCCTCTCCCTATGCATCAGATTTTCTCAGTGAAAAAATTAAGATGTAGCCTTTAGACTTCAATTAATTGATTTTTTTTTTCCCCCCCCTCAAATGAAGATACCTGATTGAGTTTTTAAGCTCTCAACTGACTTCATTTGATGTACTGGAGATTTTCTGGGCCCTCTTAAAAAGCAAGAGCTTTTGAGAACCCAATCAAAATGCACAGTGCTAAATGCAAAACAATGGAGAATAAATATTATTTACATACTGTTAACATGCAAAACAGTAAACAATAAATAAGTTTAGGCAAAATAAGATCTGCATTTAAAAAAAAGCAAAAAAAAAAACGAACATAAACATTGGTTCATACCTTTGAGTGCTGGTTTTTGGAGGTATCTGAAAACAACCAGCAAGGCAATCTGAGTCAGCACAATCAGTCCAAAGAGCGTACGAGCCTGAAAATAAACAGTTTTAAATCTATGCCAGCTCTGAAATATTAACAGCCTTTGTGTATCCCTTTTAGACACTGATAGAAATACACATTTCTGATTGAAACAGGTATGCAATGCTTTTTGGCATTATGGCACCAATGGATTAAGAAACTTATTATGTTTACATCCACTTGCATTTTACTGACTTCAGTTCAGTTGGATGTATGACAGCAGTATACTTGTTGAATCTTTCAAAAGTGGTGTTTGTAAAACACATGTATTTATAGTCCATCAATACACTTCTTATGTAAAATTTTTTTCATACTGTCCTGTATAGAATTGCAGTTCAAGACACTGAAGAATACTGGTTATTAATTAAAATTAATGTAATTGTTTTGAGCCAATATTTATACTGTTTGCAGCCATGTGGACATCAATGCGCTCTTCCAGAAATACACCTTAACTACTGTTGCATGCCTTCTTTCTATGTACTGAGTTGTAATGTCTGGATAATAACCTGAAATTTACTGAAGTCAATGGGAATTTTGCCTTCCTTGCTACAGCTCCCATCAGCAGCTGAGAGGAGACTGTTTTGTCCAGTACACACATTACAAAAAAAAATCACAGTGAAGTTTTCTCTGATTCAATGTTTCCTTTTTCTTATATCTCCAGTAGCTTGTTTTCAATTTCTTGGTTACACAAAACAAGCACATATATATATATATGTTATGTATGTATATATATCAAAACAGATAATTTTGACTAAGCCATGGAAGGCAACTTGTGCAGCAATAGTTCATGCAAACTTCATGTTGGAAGTATGCACCTGGAGAAATGAAAATTGAAATGCCTGTGAAGTTCCAATGGAATTATATCTGAAAAAAAGCAAAGTGCATTCAAGTCTACTGGGAATTAGGATCTGCATCCTGCAGTCCATGGGGAGGCCAGCACAGAATGACAGCTGTTTTCATTGAGAGCACTTACTAGAACATAGTGGTCAGTAAGAAGAATAACAGATGGCCAAAAGCCAAATCTAAGAGGATGGTTTTCTTCCATAGAGAATATATGACCCTGTGTGATAATTCTTCCAGAAGCATCCTAGATTGAAATAAAATAAGAAACCAATTATGTACTAATAAATAGTGCTAATGTAACATATTACACATAAATGACAAAAAAAAAAAATCATGTTAAAGTAGCAAGTTGATCCCTTCAGCATTTCTGAAAAGCTAACGGTTAGTTGCATGCTGCTATATCAAAACACTTCTACCTACAGAATATTATTTACTGACAATTTTACAACTCCATTAAGTTTGAGATTTTAATTTAAAATCTGAAAGTCCTGCACATGGAGGAGATACTCAGCAGTTTTATGGAAGACAGCAACTATTTACTGACTATCACCAACACTTGTCTTTTTGAAAACTCAATTCTAGAGAATAGCCTGCCTTTAAAAAAATAGAAAGTTCTGTTGTACTTAGTTCCTGGCATATTTGCTGGTTACACTGTAAGTAACAGGTATCCTGATGATCCCGTAGCGCATTCTTATTCCCAATTCTGCTGTATTTTTGACAGAATTCTTTGATATTTGTACTGATGTAATATTGATATCTTATCTCCTAGGACATGATGAACTGGCTATTTATATTAAAGAACTCAGTATATTTACTGTGACACTTGAGACCATAACATTTAGACAGCCCCAGAAACAGTGTACAGCAATCAAGTATTTGTGTTTTCTCTAGACATCTAATAGAAGTTAAGGCTTCCCTCTTCTTTCCTCAAACTATTCAGTGACCAGATGTAATAGTGATTGATAACTGGAAAGGAATTTGGATTATTTAACATTCCGTATTTGCAAAAAAATGCGGAATTCCACAAAAAACACCACCATATTGCTATACAGGTCTGTGTAACCATCTTCATATGTTTTTCAGTTTTGTGCATTTGTTTTCAGTAGTCAAAATAAAAATCAGTTATAAAACCCTAAAAAAAAAAAAAAAAAAAATCACACCCTAAAAAGAAATCAGTAACAAGCTAAGAGTTGGAACACTGACAGTACAGAAAAGTCATTGGAGGGGGGTGGGTGGGCAGGGAGGAATTATGGAGCCTTATAAGTCCTTGTCCTGGGAAGAAGAATGCCCAGCTGGGTTCTACTGGGCAGGACAAAGCTAAATTCCCTACTCTGATTCGCCACTTGAAGGGTCAGAAATAAAATATGTTCGCAAAACAGAAGCACTGTATAAGAAATTTTTTTCCCCCCAGCAATCCAATGTGAGTTAAGACTGATGTTCTGGGAAAGAGAAATCACATTCCCTGTCAGCCTGCAAGAGGTTGTAAAAAGACAAATAATGAAAGGCAGCATTCCCACCTCCAAAACTTTCCAGACCCAGTTGCTCTGCACTCTGAACACCATGCTTCTCTGCATTTTCTCTAATCAATCCCAATCATCTTTACAAGGGTAAAGTTCAAAAGTTTCTTTTGAGTAATAGGCAATTTTTTTTCCTGAACAATGACTTGCTTTTCTGTCCTTTTTAAATATTTATCATGAAAAATAAGAAACCTTACACTTAACCAGATGCTTTATTGATCTTCTAGTGCTCAGTAGTCTATGCTTTCCTATTTAGCAAACGTAACTCAGACAAACATCAAAAGTCAGTTGTCATGTATTTCCCCTCTAGTTACGTGATGCAGAAGGCTGATGGCACACACGACTACATAAAGATTCAGCACAAAGAATGCCAAAAGGTGTCTTACCTGGACAGTCACATCTATTTGATGGATCCCTTCACTATAGTTCTGTGGGCTCCACTTCAGCACATAAAGAGGGCCAGATGTCTGATGAGCATTCCCTAGGTAAACTCCATCTATATAGACTTTGACAGAAGTAATGGCAGCAGGGGAGAAGGCCAGAATTCTAAGGATTGAATCAACAACAAAATAAACAGATCTAATTAGAGGAGTTGCAGATTTGTCATCATCTCCTTTAAGAGACTTCCCTTTGTCACGTAAGTCTGAAGAATTCAAAAGAATTAATTAGGAACAAAAATGATAAAATATCTGTAGGCAAATGATAATACAGAGCTCTCTTACAACTAACAAAGGAAATCCCAAGTGGTATTGTGCAAAATAATAGAACAGGAAATTGGGCTGCGGAGCTGATTAAAAAAAAAAGTTTAATATGATCATTAAAATGTTTAGATAAGATTCTAAACAGGAAACTGGAAAGTAGCTTCCTACACTGAGAAGTACAACAAGCTTCTTTTGATTGCAACTCTGCATATTTAATAGACTTGTATTTATTGATCTAATAGCATATCTAAGATGACTGAAAGTGCATAAAACTTTGAAACAAAGTAAAAACAGAAAAGGCAGAAGTGAAAAGATGGAGGAATTTAAAACATAAAAAAATCAGCTGAAGCACATATCCAATGTGTAATATTAAACATTTAATATTTGTAATACAGCAGGGCTGTAAAACTGAGAACAGAAGAAAAGGCTAAGATGTTTAAAATAAACAGAAAATAGACAAAATCCTGAAGTCAGTGAAGATGATGTGAACGTGCAGGATTAACACAGCATTAAGTGTTAAACTCTACCAGCTTTGGTCACACAAAAAAAGATGGACTTGGCTTTGGTAGAAATAACTGCATATGCAAAACAAGTAAGAACTAGTATATAGGATAGAATAGTGCTGTAAACTCTGCTTAAATTACACAAAGTGAGCACTCGGCAACAATCTCTCAGAACAGAGACTTTTTTTTAAGGCACATGTTACATAAATACACATATATACCATGAAATACCTCACCTATTAAAACATTGTCAAACACTCAAAATCAAGAGATTATTATAGGGTACCTGATATGAGTGGAGTAAAGAATTTTCACTAGTGGTTCATGAAAAGAACTGCTGTAAAGGGAGGATTTGGGATTGGTGATGAGAACTGCTGGCCATTCTTCAAAAGTGAGATCCACAAAACTAAAGAGGTCATGATCAAATGCAAGGATCCGGTACCTAAGATGAAAGAAAGATAACTTTGTTGACACAACTATTGCATGTCCAGGTGACACACATGCTTCCCAAGTTCCTACACAGAACTTGTTGGACATAGTTTCTGCTTCTTCTCTTTTGTACACAATCATATGTTAACTGACTGCTGTATTAACTGTACAGCTGCTTTTTGACATGCTGGTAAGGTAACAGCACAGGTAGGTGTTTTATTTCTAGAATTCCTACAGCTGGCCCAGAGCATGGATCTTAAAGTACTGATGCTGAATTTCATTACAATGTTTTCTTACTTAGAATATTAAACAGACATTACATAGACATTCAGATGCCATCTTTTTAGTTTTCAAATATCAAGAATGAATCAAAAGATTCATAGACATTTTTCAAAAAACACTGATAGTAATAACCAGACAGATCTAATGCTTCTCTCAAATTCTTTAAATAGCATAAAAGGTAGAACTACTTAGGATCCATATAATAATTTTCTCACACAGTGTTTACTTACTTCCTGTTATCCTTCCAGTCTCCTAATTCCAGTTCCAGAGTGCCACCACGGTGTTGGCTATACAAGGCTGGCATCAGTCCACCCATTGTATGGAGATGTCCACATAAATAAGCTGTGGCAGAACTAATAAAGAAAACATAACATTTATGATTGTTTGGATAGGAGGGAAACGCCATTGCAGAAAACCTGTGAAGTGACAGACGAGTATGTGAAGACAGACTAGAAGTGTACTTCAGATCAAAGACACACATGGAAAAAAGACAAATAGGCCTTACCTCATTAATGCTCGTATCCCTGGGGCAGGGGATATGATTGTTGAGGTGGGATAATGGCCGAACCAGACAGTATGATTGCTGCGGAGGCTTTCTGTGGCCATCACAGAGAGCTCTTGCATTTGATTCTGAAATGGACAGGTGTTTGGGGAAAAACAAACAAGCAAACCATTAAACAAACCAACCAATAAAACAACTATTTAACTATTTACCATTTCAGTTCTTTGGAAATAATAACAAATGAAATGCAGAAAGGAAGTAATGAAGAATGCAATTAATCTCTTGTCTACAGAGAACGTTCACAGTTGCTTTAGAATAAACAGGCTGCACTACTGAACACATCATAAAACTCCACTGTTGGAAAAAAAACATGAATTCAAGATACTTAAAGTCCTTACAACTTAACAGAGGAAGAGTGTACTGTAAGGATAGATGTAGTTAAGTTACATTTGTCCTTTCTACTGCTTGTTTATACAGTTAAAGAAACATTTCTGTTGATTTACCAATGTATTTACTCTGCAATTGTACTCTTATTATTTCCTGACTTGCTTGACAGCCTCTTACAGCCATGTCAGATCTCAGAACAGCACACCATGTGATTCAGTCATTTCACTGGAAGAACTGTAACACTGACTCTTGGAACTACTACTCTGTCACTGCTGTTAACTTTAAGCATAATTATCACTTTAGACAGCAAGTTGAACTTCTCTATCACTTCTTTGACTGTCTTTTTGACATCAACCACTTACAGTTTGGAGAGACTCAACACCAGCATAAGACTTAACTCAGGAGGCAGGGAAAAAAAAAAAAAAAAAGAGTACAAATCCACTCTTCCACCACTTCACGAAGCCTCTTTTAGACTAAAAGAAGAATCAGGATATTGTTTTCCTTCCTACCTAAAAATGAATGCTGTAATGCATGGACACAGGAAACAGAAATAGATCCTGTATTAAAAACAAATGGATTCAGTATACCTTTGAGTTAGCGTAACTAATTTAAGTGAAATTAAGATTTCATTTGTTTTATGTAGAAATTTTCTTAGAGACTAAACTCATAAGATAGCTATTAGAAACCCAAGCTATGCACTGATACAACTGCAATTTATTCTTTAAATTCTGGGCAGGGAATTGATTTCTAACAGTCACAAGTACCTGGTGACCCACGGCTACCTTTTTTCTTTACCTTAAGATTTATGCAAAAATCTGCAAGTGAGGCACTTCATACTCCTGGTGCTGGGTAATTACCAAGAAAGTTCTCTCCTTACTGCAGCCCAGACAGGAGCTGCATTACTTTACTCCTTAAGAATTTGTATGCAAAGCTACCCATGGATTACAGGAAACAATGAGAAGGGTACTATACCTAGCACTCCTACATCATCTTTCATCTAAGCAGCATCAAGTGATTTAAAAAACATTTAATGAAATGTTGGGTCTCCTTTGGATAAGATTAGAAGAACATGTTACTTGTCTTTGAGGCTGTTACCAAAGACAGAATACGACACATTTGCCAAAATATAGTAACTGTATGCAATAAGTCAGAAGAGTTATCTCAAAAACAGCAAACATACAAATTACACACACATGAACTTAGAAATGTAGAGACTCTTTTTGATGAGCATAAATCTTCCAGGTGATTCTTGATTATAAAAAAAAAAAAGGAAAGACACCCCCAGATTAATACACCTTAAAATAGACAGCAAAATGAAACGCTAGCACTTCTAAAATACCTTATTTAAAATCCCAAAGAAATTATAGGGTCTCTTTGGGCCTGGGCTCAGTGTGGCATCCACGCAGATGAATGAATAGCTCCCAAATGAGGTGGTGTGGACATAATGGAAAGAGCCATCTTTCTGCCAGGCAGAGTACTTCCTGTCATAATAAAATCAAAACACTGTTAATAGGAAAGCCTGCAGCAATGACAAAAATGACACATGTAGGATAAATGCAAAAGTTTGTGCATTAGATCTAGCTCCATATTGTTACTGCAGTAAAATCTTTTGGAAAAAAAAAAACAACAAAAAACAATGGCATTGCAAAACCTGTACTTAACAGAATATATCCTATACTTTCAGTGCCTTAAAGGCTCTCTCAAAATCTTTGTATTTTGAAATTAATGTTATCTTTATGAACATCATGAACTTTTAAACCTGGAAGATCAGTACCACAATCCTTAGATTTCTGCCTCTAGTCTCACCTAAACTATGTGCAACTGTTGAATTATCCCCTGCTTACACCGTGGATGTAAAATAAGAACTCATGCATTTGTCTCATGCATTTGTATAAAAATAGTATATTTCAATACAACTGCTGCCTTCTTAACATTAATACCTATTTGACATCAAGTCTTACTCTGTTATCTGTTTGCTTGGCCTATATTTTTGTACCTGCAGCCTGCAATGCCTCAGAGGTGCGCAGCAAAGAATTATTTGACCAGATATCATGCAAAGGATTCACTGTGTCTCAGACAAAAAAAAAAAAAGAAAAAAAAAAGGATGCTGTCCTTTAGAGTGTTTACTGATGGTGGCAAATGAAAGAAAACTTCCCCAAGACTCTGTTTACCCTGCCATCACCTTTCTATATCCTTTGAGTGTGGCACATTTTATGAAAATGTTCTTTACTTTTTATTAATCCTTTTGAATCCCTTTTGTGAGGCCTGTTTCTTCAGCAGGTGATCCATACACCTTCCCCAACAACTGTCTTGTCCAGGCCAAATTTCAGCACCAAGAATTCAGGGATGTTCCAACAAATTTACTAGTGCTACATCTTCTCACACAATTCACCAGGATTTCTGATAGCAACCATAAATTAAATAGTGTGGAAGACAGATACTACACTGCTGTAAAAAAGAAAGATACAGGGACATGCACTGAACTGGGCCATGCGAAAGCCTCATTAGTGCCATCCCTACAGCCCCGCACTGTAAATCCACATTTGAATTCCACATTCTCCTGCAAATGAAGCTGTTGTTGGATACCATCTCTGAATTCATGGGAAAACATTATCTGCTCTTGCCTGGATGCAGGAACTGAAGCAGATTGGTGAGCTATCAAATTTTCTGTTCTTACTGCGAGAAGAGCTTGAATTTAAGTAGAAATTAGATTTCTAAGTCCTCCCCGAGTTCTAAGAGTCAGAGCTGAGAACATCACTGAAGTTATGAGACAATATTTTGTGTTCAAATGTGAAGGGCAGGGGAAAAAAAGAGGGACTGAACATCAGTAACAGCTGTAGCTACCTTTACAATGTACAAACCAAGGAGTCAATGGAAAAGGTGAAAGCTTCCTGACCAATCTTTCCATTTAGAACTCCAGTGTGTTCCTTAAGACTCATCCACCCAGCATCTTTTTCTTCCCCCCCCTCCCATCTCTATTTCTACTTTTATTCTTTAAAAAAGAAAAATCACTCAAGTGTGAAGAAATAGTTCTGATAAAATTTAGACCCATATGACAAGAAAATGAGCATGCAGAAAGAACAAGTGTTGTGTTGCTTTTTCTCCCCCTCCCCCCCCCCCCCCCCCATCTATTTCAAATAGAAAAGATTCTTCAAAAATACTTGTTTCACAGAAACAAGCCACAAAATTGCTAAGGAAATACAATGCACAGTATGTTTCCCAGACGCAGCAGATTTACAATGTGTGCAATTACAAAACATATGGAGCTAAGAGATGAGAAGTCTAAGCAAGTAATTCTCTGTACTCCAAGTCCATTCTACACAACTAACCAGGAATAGGAATGGCAAATGTGATCCTGGGCTATAGAACAGTCAGGGAGAAAGCATAACTGATAACTGAAAACAGAATATTGCTCAACAATTCCACTATTGAATAAAATGGTGTCTGTGTAGAAAATAGAAATACCTGTAGTAATTCTGAATGCTATCCAGGTGTGGGATGTTGAATGAATCTATAAGAGAGAGGAAAAAAAGTGAATACATTTTCACATTAAATTGATTATTTGTCTGTATTTTAACATCAAGAATTAAAAAATAAAATGGTCTCAGCAAGCAGTGGCAAGCTGTATTTAAAAAAAATAACAAATACACAATTGATAAGCAGATTGTCCAATTGTACATAGAAATCATCATATACTTCATGCAGTTGACCCAGTAGTATGAAAACTTCTCATTCAAGTTTCAATTCAAAGGCAAAATTTTTGTAGACATGCAAGTTGTAATTTAGAGGCTAAAAGCTAACCACACAGTTTCAGTTTCAGCACAAAGCTTTACAGCTTTTCAGATTGAGTGTGTTATATAAAGGTCTAACTAACCTAGGGAAAACAAAGTAGCAATAGCATCAGAGACTAGCATAAATAAAACAAACAACCTGGGAACATTTGTACTGCATTGCACTACCACAGTCCTACTACAAACTGAATGTTTGTACTGGAGCCCACACCTCTCCATTATGGCTGCTAGCAGAAGTCTTCCAGGAAAAATGGGAGTGTTATGGGCCTAACACAGGATGTACTTCTCACTCCACCTAAGTACTAAGCCTTCTAGCTATGCCCTTCCAGTAGGCTATACAAGCCAGCTGTTATAAGGTTATTGATGAACATGTGCTACTTTTAGAATATAAACCAGTTAGAAGATACCTATGAAAAGCAAATTTAAACCATTTCTTCAGTACAGTAAGGTTACAGCTTGCTTTTCTATTAAAAGATGGGGTATATAAAACAACCATCCGGAAATTAACATCTGAAGATACATTCCACCACTTGACTTGCAAAGCAGTAAATGAAGACTCTTACTTCCTTGTTACTAAAATTCCAGTAAGTGCCTGTAAACAAGACATGCCCTTGGTGGAACAGGTGCTTGGATGGCAAGCCTTTCTACAGGCTTATAACCACCATTAATATGCTTGTAACTACTAACACTTCATATTTTAACTTACTTAAATCATCTCTGTCATCACAGAGAAAACCTTCTTACCATGGTTTCCTTTGATGTCTATCCACTTAGTTTTTTCCCTGACTCTTGATCGCTTCAGGACCGATTGGTAAGTTTTCCACTCTTCTTCTACCTGCTCAGATCCCAATTTATCTCTTGTCTTTGCATCTGTCAAATCACCTGCAAATGTACAAAGGTGAGATCTAACTAGATCCATACAGTTACAAATACTTCATACAAACACAAAATAGGCAAGCATGCAATCCAAGCTTCCTAGTGGAAGTGGCAGCAGGCCACCTGGGTATAATGTAGATGTTCCCAACTTCTGGTCTAAGAGGTTACTATAAGGGTAAATGCCTTCTACTGCAGATGCAGAAAGTTAATCAAACACCAAATGAGTCACTGTGGCACTTTTACTAATGCCAGGCTAAGTTAAGTGCTCTGCATTCTTTATCCTTGATAATTCCAGTCACAGAGACTTCATTTGACTTTACACCTTCAGTATTTCCTTAAGCTCTAACTGAAGTTCAAATTATTCTCATTTTCATTTGTATGCTAAGACTTTCCTGCAGTGTTAGTAAAAAGATGAATGCTAAGTATTGCTGAGCTGAACTTAAAAAGCAAATAGCAGATAAGCAACTGTCAGAAATGGAGACAGAAATGGAGAATTAGCACGAAACCACATCTACAGTAAGGGTTCAAAATCCTTTCAATTTGCTTGCTAAAACTTACTCCATTCCAACAGTAGAATTAAGATATCAAATTGAATGGCAAGACTTATTTTACCTGTCCTGGCATATAATAAGTTCAAACAGAAACCAGCAACAAAAAAAAAACTTACATTAGATGACAGCAGAATTTCATACAAATAAACAGGGACTGTTCTAGTGCAGAATAATTGAGGGAGGAATTAACTCCTACTTTCTTTCTGAGACTCTGCTCTCTCCTGCAGCTTCACACACAAAGAATGAAACAACCTCTACAAGAAAAGGTGACTACCAATCACAACTAATGCATAGTGATAAATAAGGGAAAAAAATAATAGCTACATTACAGCATTATGTCTTACTTACACATAATATGCTGAATTCCCATCAAATTCAAGATATTAAGCAAAAAATAATAATTAAGTTCAGAAGTTGGCCTCTTCTACTTCTAGCAATCTATTTTCACCTGCAATTCTACTTCCACAGCTCAATAAGCCTTTAAGTTTTAAGGCCCTCTTCTGAAATTCTAGAGTTTTGCTTATTTGCTCTTTATTTGACAGCACATTCAACAGGAAATCCATACTTCTGAATTGCTTACCTGTTGCGAGAACAAATGCTGGTTGAATTACATTGATTGTTTCAGAGCAGAATTTTTCCAAGTCAGAAGCTCGTGTGGGATCCTGAAATCTGCTTATATGGATATCTGACACCTGCAAAAGAGAACAATGAAATGCTGTCCCAAACAAGTTGTTCTGCAAAGCCAAATGTGCTAGAGTGCAGCACAAGGGCAGTCACATTGATTCATACCTGTACCAAGGATGCAAGTAAGTACAGAAACAGATGACTAGGAAAAAACAAGAGCAGAACAAACATACCACAGTGTTACCCCTGTAGCCCCTAAAATCACATATACATCAAGTCTCCTTAATTAAGGGCATACAACAGTATGGGGAAATACACAGCTATCTACAGTAAGTTTTGATAGCTGTAAGCAGCTGCTTGACTTCCAGATTCTGCAAGTTTCTGCTGCAATACAGTGATCCTTCTGCAAGAGAGACTTAAACAGTTCTGCAAAGCAAGAATAGGTTAAAATCAGCTTAGGACATGAAGCACACTAAGAAGCCATTTCATACCTGATACAAGATCTCCAATAGCTGGGCAGAAGGATTTCTAATATTCTCCCTATTTACTTTAATGGGAATCTGATGAGTCCATTTACATCCCATTCTACGTACCTTCGTGAATGTAAAGGTTACCAAGAAATGAGGAAACTGCTTGTACACAGCCATGAAATAATACATTGTTTATCTCTGAACTAATCAGTCAAAACCTTCACAACAATAAAGGCATATTGAGCCTTAGAGGGGGATTGGGAAGGAAGGGAATTCAGAACAAGAAGAATATGTGGATAGTTATTTATTAAACATAGTGGCTTTCCAGATCTGTCCAACCACATCTTGAGTGAATGCTTTCAAATCATCCCACCTCAGCCAAATCAATACTTTACCCTCCTCAACTTAGGTAAAGAATATTTCACACACAGAGATTAGTGAGCATGTGCTCATAGCTATCTGAGCATACAGGCTGATGGTTGGACTAGATGACCTTGGAAGCCTTTTCCAACTTCTATGATTCTATGCTATCTTTAACTGAAAAAAAAACATGAACTTCCACGTTTTACTGAATAAGTGTGTCTCTTTTTGCTCTTTAAGAAACGCAGGCAAACACCTCAGAAATAAAATGCCTTACCTTCTAGTTTGTCATTTTAACGTACTTGCAAACAGTTTCTCTTAGTTTAGTCTAGGAAAACTTCAAGTTCACAGAGACATTCATAAAGCTATTCATAAAGCTGTAAGTGAACTGAAGAGCATAGTAAAACTACAAAAAGAAAAAACATACCAAAAGAAGGCAATGACAACAGTGCCTTTAAATGGGACACAGGCACTACAGAGCAACACAAGTTAATAGAAAAGGAAAATTAGCTCACCACCTCCAACAACCATGAGCTTAAAAGACATGCAATCTCAAAAAGAAGACAAGCTTTCTTGGCTGCTAACCCTTAAATGAGGCTGAGGAGGGGTGGATCCATACTCCACCCCTTCCAATCACTCAGGTGCACTGCTCACACCTGAGCTCCCTGCATTAGCCACACCTTCTCACCTGGTGCTTAGCCACTGGTTCAGGCTGTGCCTTGCCAATTCCACTGCACTACCTCAATGCATCAAACCTACTTTAATCACTGATAATGCTACAGCATCTTATATCTTCTCCTAAGTCTGTAGATTTGCAACTTACTTATCTCAGCATTCTAACGGAGAATATGCAAACTTCTATCAATGCTGTCTCCAGATTCTTGAGCAAAAGGTCTTATAAAAAACCTTTCTCCTGTTCTACAAATAACAACAGAAAATGTAGATCTCAAATATGATAAGCAGACAGTTGTCAAGAGGCCTGATTTTCTAGAAGGATCTTCCCATTCCTTTTCCCTACAATACTAGCTTAAGATTTAAAAAAGGCTCTTCTTTTAAGTTCCAAGAGCTGCAGCATCCCAACACTTCTGCAGAACTGAAACTAACTTTGTTATTATTAAAAACCACAAAGTATGAAGGTGATGGGAGTTACAAAGAAGTGGAAATGAGCAGGCAAGGGGAAATGTTTGTAATGCTCTTAGCAAATCGGGAAATCATTTTCACAAAAGGAAATACAAGTCCACCTGCCACATTACTTTTCTGCCTCCACCTGATGGATCTAGAAAGCAAGCCTTCCCACCGAGACACAGGAAGAGGCTTTTATGAAAATGGGTTGGAAGAGCCTTAGGAGTGAGGAGAAATCACTATCCACATCCCTAACCTAGAGAAGTGGTTGTTTAAGAAAGGTGGGCATTAAGAAGGGAGTATTACAAGGCTTATAGAAACAGGATATACAAGCTGAAAGAAACAGGAAAAAAAATCCAAACAGTAATCTTGTCAAACCATACAATCATAGAACAGCCTGGGTTGAAAAGCACCTCAAAGATTATCTAGTTTCAGCCCCCCTGCCATGGGCAGGGTTGCCAGCCACCAGACCAGGCTGCCCAGAGCCACATCCAGCCTGGCTTTGAATACATCCAGTAACAGGGCATCCACAACCTTCTTGGGAAAACATTGAATTTGAAAGCCCACTGGGTACTAAGTTTATAAGTTTTACTATAAGAAAGTTGAAAAAACCCTTAATAGATGACTGTAGTAGAGAGATCATAATTTAGTTTGGTTTCACAGGAGATGGTCCTGTGGGTAAGAGGAAAAACATTGCAGAAGCTGCTGAGGGAGGAGCAGAACCTCCCAAGCTTGATCCAGTGACCCAGGTTAAACATGGGGAGTCACCAGGGAGCTTGCAGCCCGTTTCCCATAACATCATCTGGCACAACGCTGGATTTAGCACTTGATTCATTTCCCAGTTAGGTCAATGATAAAGTTGCCGTTAAAGGGCACATCTGAAAGAGAACATAACCACACGAAAGTAAAGCCAAGCCTCAAATTAGCTGTGCCGTGACCTATCCTTGGGAGAACTCCACTGGAAGTAACACAACCAAAGAGGAGTATGGAGCTGTGCGTGCTGCTCGCCAGCATAGCTTTGGAGCTACATACTGTTGTGGATGGCTCTGAGATTAAAACCTCCAGATAAGGATGTTACCTACGTTAATTCAAACAAAATATCGCATTTTGAAAACTGTTCTGCAGTGACAATGTATTAAGTCACAGAAGGAAAAAAAACACTGGAAAAACTGGCTTAGAAAATACACAGCAATCGGAGAGAACAATAGGACTCATAGCATGTTGGACCGCACGCTAAGAGCATTGCCTGCAGCTAACATAGAAAGTGTTTCGGAACAAGAGCGGAATAGCAGGAGCCCATTTGTTAACAAGAACGCTGCAGCCACCCGGCACGTAGGCGAACAGCGCGCGGGGAGCGAGCAGGGAGCGCTGCGGCGTCAGGAGCCGGCCGGGCCGGCACACGGCCAGCACCGCTCAGAGGTGCTCCGGGTTCAGCCTGGAGACAAGGCCGCGGGCACGAAAGCCGAGCTGTACCGCTCTCGTGCCGGCCTAGTACTTCCGACGCTAAAAAACATCGGGGGGATTTTTTCTGTCACCTAAGTTTCCTCATCTTTGGAGGAGGAAAGGGGCGGCCGAGCCCGGTATCACACAGGATGGGGTACTGATACAACACAGATTAATGCAATAATTAGGGGAGCTTTAACTACCCCTCCCCTCTCGCACTTCGTCTCCTAGGCACGGCGGCCCGACACCTGCCGCTCCTCACGGACAGCACTGGGGAGCGCTTACAGAGAAAACGCGCAGAGCCTCCCTCGGCCCCAGCGCCAGACCCCGTACGACCCCCGCCACCGCGGCGGACCCCCTCAGCGGGGCCCCGCTCACCTGCACCGCCCACAGCAGGTTGGCGGCTTCCGCCCCGGGGGCAGGCCTGGGGGCCCGCCGGCGGCGCAGACCCGCCGGCGCCGAAGAAGCTGCCGGCGAGTACCAGTTCAGCAGCAGCGCCGCGGCGGCCGCCAGCAGCAGGCCCGCGGCCAGCTTCAGCATCTTACGCCTCGCCGCCAGCCCGCACCCGCCCCAGGCGGCCCCCGCCGCCCTCCGCCGGCTTCGGCACTTCCGCCCGGCGGCCCGCCCCCTCGGGCCGCGCCTCTGCGGGGGGCTGGAAGAACGAAGCCGAGGGCTGGGTGCCTTGTGCCGCGCGGCACGCGGGAATCGGGTTCTCTGTCCGCGTGGGTCAGGAGCCGCGATCGCTCGTGTTGATGCTTAAGGCACGAGGAGAGCCCATCAAAATTCACGGCGTCTGCGGCCCGGGCTGGCCGCTGTACGCCAGCCCCACTGTCAGCGCTCAGCCAAAAGGGGCGACTACAAACCTGCGGTGCGTTCAGATGAAGATTTGCACTGACGAACAGCTGTGAGAGCACCCCCAGCCAGATAGGCCGAGGAAAACTTACTGACTACAGCTGGGAACGCACCTGCAAGTTTTCTCTGCAGGTCAGGTAAAGGCGGCGCGTGAGCCCCTCACAGCGCTCCTCGGCCAGGCCGAGGCAGCAGCAACATCACCTCGCCCCAGGCTGCCACCTGCCTCCACAGAGCGAGACGCCCGCACCGCCTCCCTAAGTCCGGACACACAGACACAAACGCGCCTCCGCCTACAGGGGCTGAGCTCCGCCGCGCATTCGCAGGGAGAGGGCGGCGCCTGCGCGCTGCAGCCGTGCCGCCGTTGGGGTGGGCCGTGGAGGTGGCGCAGCGCGGCGGCCCGGTGGCCGTGGGAGCTTCTTCCGGGCGGTGGTGGTGGCGGCCGCCTCTTTTTCGCTCTCAAAATGGCGGACGGAGGCAACAGAGGGTCCGGAGCGGCGGCGACGAGAGCGGCGGGGAGCCGGGTCTCCGCGCAGCCTCAGGAGCGGGCTATGGTGAGGCTGCTGCGTGACGCGACGGCGCGGTTCTCTCTGGTCCTGCTCGACGGCAGCCCGTGCCGTGCCCGCGCTGCAACTCCGCCGCTCGGCTGAACGTCCCTGGCGTCACCCGAGGCACCGACGTGCAGCGTTAGGCCGGGCCGCAGTACGCCTTTGTGTGCCTGTCAGTCTCCGCGGCGCCTGCTGAGGCGGCGTCAAGCAGCGGCGCTGGAGGCCGGGCAGGGAGCGGGAGGCACGGCCTCGGCGGGCCGCGGCCTCGGCGGCAGGGAGCCGGCCCTGTCCCGCTCCGGCCCCGCGGGGAAGGCGGGCTCGCCTGGGGCAGCCCCGGCGAAGGGGTTTGTCGGCTGCCGCCTGCGGCGGCGCCTCATCCGTGGCGTCCCCGCCCAAGTCCCTGTGTCGTAACTGAGTCTGTAGGTAATGATCCGAGGTCAGTCTTCTGGGAAGCCTTGGGCTTTCCCACATCCTTCAGTCGTTTAATGCGTGTGTGTATCTTGCTGTGACTTTGTTCCTTAATTAAAGGTAACTATTTTACTGTGAAAAAAATGATGGAGTGGTCATTGTTGTGCTGTGTGTGAATAAGGCAACAAGAAGTGGAGGTTGGGGTTGGCATCTGTGTTTCTTACCTGAACAGAACTATCCTCTTCTTGAATTAAATTCGATAGCAGGTTTAATATTCATTGTGAGCACTTGTTAGGGCTGATTTGTCCAGAGGCAGCAGGTACAGGGCCTTGTAGGCTTCCTTCATAACCTTGCAGTGTCTGTAACCATGCTGTATGCTCTTCTGCTAAAGTAGATTAAAGCCCACTGCTTGTCTGTTAGCTAAAAGTGTGTCTGAATGCCTTTTGGAAGTCCTCTATTTCATGTTAGTTTTTCCTGCTCTAATAAGAGCAACCTGGGTATGTGATGTGATGTTGAACTTCTGGCTATGAATATTTAGAAGTAGGGCAGCGTGGTGCTACCCTCTGTGAGTAAAAACAGGAAGCAGGTACTCAGTTCGTGCAGGCAGCGGCACTAAGCCAGTGACCGCTGTCTGTTATACTTTTGCTCAAAACAGTGAGGATCAAATCAGAGGGGTGTGTAGTCTAATGCCAGAACCATTTCTCAGGACAACCATATTTTTTCTGGCTGTAACAGACGTATGTGTGAATTTCTTTTTTCTATATTAGAAGCAACTTGATTTTAAACTAATAAAAATGTAATTCGGTTGAGTTGCAATGTCAAAAACAAACAAACAAACAAAAAAACAAAAAAAAAAAACAAAAACCAAACAACCAGCAACCAGAGTTAAGAGACTTGGTGAGTTTGAATGCAGCATACAGTCAGAGGAGTACTAAAGGCAGCTGTTACAATCAGTTAGCAAAGTAATAGTATCCTCTATTCATTACCTGGGGATGCTGGAGGCTGACTTAGCTCCAGCAATAGGGGCTATGTAATGATAATACTCTAAACAACACATGGAATGATGCTGAGGAGCATCATTCCATTCAGTTGTCTTAGGTTTTTATGTGGTTTCAGCCAGAATTACCATGATTACAAGTTTCTAGAGAGTCTGTTGTCATGGCAGGTGGCCACCTAGGTTGCATTGTCTGGCACGTGTACAAGCAAACTGCAGGAATTTTTAGAGTTGAATGTGGGGTGAAAGCATTGTCCTTAAGGGTGATTGAAAGAGATGAGCTTGAACTTAGACTGAGCCTGACAGAGTTGACAGAGTTCACGGAATCACAAAATGGCCCAGCTTGGAAGGGACCTCAAGGATCATGAATCTCCAACCCCCCTGCCCCAGGTAGGGCCAAGTTTATTATGTTAGACTGCAAGTGATATTGGACACAGCTGCAGTCTGAAAGCAATACATCCAGTATGCTGATGTATTAAATATGGTACTGGTTAGGTGGAATTAACTTATCCTGTCTGAGTTGTGTCCTTCTAGTGACAAACTAGTCTGTGCCCTTTTGCTGTGGTGGCTTGTGGAGTGTGGAACAAACAGCTGAATGGAGTGGATTTAAGCCAGGCTAAACTTGTTAAGTCTGTGTCAGGGTCAGCCCAGTCAGACTCACTGCTGCTCTTGTTTTTCATCTCTGACTTGAAGGGAGTGTGTTGCTTGCAGTGCTTGGTCGTGTTTGGCTGTGTGACACTTGGGCTGGTAAACCTTTGCAGGGTGTTGAGTGTTTGGTGCTGAATTACTGAATGACTGCAGGAGCCAGGCTCATTCCAGCTTGGATGGGGATGACTCAGGTAACCAGCACTTCTGCATCCAGCCCAGCTCTGTGGTCTTATCTGTGCTCTGAATTCCAACTCTTCAGGTTGGATGACTGTAGTTGGGAATACCTGTGCTTCCTTTTCACTGCAGTATTTAAAGATCCCATCTGCGCTTTTTCTTTCTTCTCTGTAGTGTCTGTATTGCTTCCTGTCCTTGAAAAAGTTACAGCTGCTCTTGTCAAGTTGACACTGACTTAGTAATAAACCCTGTCATCCAGACTTCTGTTTCCTCTGTTTTCTTTCCCTAGCAGCACCTCCAGTTTGCTTGGCTGCCTATTGGGCTGGACTTGGCTCATCTGGTAGTTGGCTAACAAGCACTGCTGGTGGCCAAATAAAAGCCTGCTTAGCAGGCTGAGTCCAGCCCATTGGTTGTTTGTCCATCTGTATTCCTAACAAGTTCCAGTTTGAATCCTACTTGCTTTGGTGGCTGCTATCTGGAATATACCAGCAGGGTTTAGATATTAAAATACTTCAGAGATTTTTATTCCTGCTAAATCTTCAGTTTTTGATGGAAGCGTACCTTCTCGACAGTACTTGTGAACAGATCTTTTTTCAGAATTCAAATCTTTTGTCATCTGTCAATACCTACATATATAAGTATAGTTTTGAATAGAATAGTGTGTAAAGGAAGAGAAAAGCTTTAATGGTAGGATCAATTTATGTAAGCTGAATTAGTTTAAATTGTCAGTGTTAGATGAAGTAGCTTATCCGTATACTGTGTATAGTCCAAGCTGGATGCATGTTAGCATGTCCATGGAATATGAAGTTGCAACAAGTAACTGGAGCGTTGCCAAGGTCTTGCTTGTGTCCTTATATTTAGCATTTTATTGAAGTGCTTTCATTTTGTTGTGGCATTGAGCAATGCTATAGCTTTCTCTTCTTTGTTTTCTTTTATGTTTACTGATGTTTCTAGGTCATTTTTGTGGCTTTTGTTAGTGCAGCAGTAAACTATGATTGTGAAGGTATGTCAGCTTCACTCTAGTTGCGGTTGCTGAAATACTATTACAGTGTTGTGAGGAGTATGTAGCTGTGAGTGGATATTACCCTTTGAGGGCAGCTGCTTAAGTGGCTTCTGGATCCCAAAGCTCTGGAGGAGCTAGGGATGAGCAGGTTGGTTTTGGAAAGTGCAAAGTCATTAGTACTGAACAGTGAGGGATTAGTGTGATTTCTATGGCACGGTTATTCTCTGCAGAGTTATGTATATAGTGGATTAGAAAATTCACGTTATTGTGTGGATACATGAGTTTGAGTACATGTGAATGAATACGAAAACTTAGTATAGACAGATGCGATCTCCCTCCCGGCAGTACCAAATTAGTTGTTTATAAATGTCCACTGTGGCTACAATTTTTGATGAACAGTGTGGGTGCTGGGAAATTGATTAGATATCTTGTTCCCTAGAATGCAGGAGACCATGCATGGATGTTAGAAGAGGAGTGGAGAGGAACAAAGACTTTTCTTTGTTTCCCTAGAAACAAAGGGATCTTCAATCTGTCAAATGAATATTCAGAACTTAAAGAAAAGGTTCTATTTTAAAGTCTCTTATGGAATACCACAACAAATAAATCTGCAAATATTATTTTGCTATTTTTTCCAGGGGGAGTTACTTTTTTTGAAGTATTTATTTTGCATGTTGATTTAACGCCTGATTTTGAATTCCAGTTTCTCATAGTGTTGCCACGTCAGTTACGCATTGCTCTCTGCCTAACTCTGATTTGACCCGAAAGTTTGAAATGTGAAAACTGTTCAGATTGTGTCTCCTCGGGCACCTGTCTGCATCGAAGCAGTTATCTCTGCGCACTGAAATTGCACCTGTGATTTTGGTAGTGAGTCTGATTGAAAACTGACAGCCGAGCAGTAGGGTGGTCGAGCAACCTGCAGCCAGGCCTTG